CTTTTAAAGTCTTGTGGAAGATAGTTGATTACTATGGGGCAGGTGGTTTATTTATGTATATTAGGAATATTGGTCTGTAGCTAATTTTACCAAAGACCATGTACATATTTCTGTCTCCTCTATAGGAAAATTTGAGATCTTCCCTCCTTTAAGGAGCTGCTTCATCATTCTGGACACTGAGGAACAGACAGAGGGTGTGGCAGGCCATAAACCTCAATGGCGCCAGTGTCTTTAAGGATAGAGACGCTAACCCTAATCAGCCAAAGCAGGGACCCGCATGGGGCAGAGCCTCCGCGTGTAACCCTAACCATGTGGCCATTTTGCCAAATACTATCTATATAGTGTATGTTATATATAATGTATGTGTACTATATATAAGCTGTATGATTTCTACAAAAATGTCTGTTGGATATCTATATGTAAATACTGCAAGATAAACCTAAGTAGACATTATAATATTAGTTTGAATAACTGTGTTGAAGATCACTTCCATACAAGGTGTAAGAACTGAGATCAGATCTTTCCACCAGAAATAGCTGGAAACCACAGTGAAATTTCTTTTTTTTAAATTGTACTTTAGATTCTGGGGTACATGTGCAGATCATGCAGGATTGTTGCATAGGTACATTCATGGCAAGGTGGTTTGCTGCCTCCATCCCCCCATCACTTATACCTGACATTTCTCCCCACCTTATGCCTCCCCACCCTCCCTGCTACTATACCTCCCCTAGCCTCTCACAACAGACCCGGGTGTGTGATGCTCCCCTCTCTGTGTCCACATGTTCTCATTGTTCAACACCCCCATGAGTGAGAACATGTGGTGTCTGATTTTTTGTTATTCTGTCATTTTGCGGAGAATGACGGTTTCCAGTTTCATCCATGTCCCTATAAAGGACAAGAACTCATCATTTTTTATGGCTGCACAGTATTCCATGGTGTATATGTGCCACATTTTCCTTGTCCAGTCTATTGTCAATGGGCATTTGGGTTGGTTCCAGGTCTTTGCTATTGTAAAGAGTGCTGCAATAAACATACATGTGCATGTGTCTTTATATTAGAATGATTTATAATCCTTTGGGTATGTACCCAGTAATGGGATTGCTGGGTCAAATGGAATTTCTATTTCTAGATCCTTGAGGAATCTCCACACCGTCTTCCACAATGGTAGAACTAATTTACACTCTCACCAACAGTGTAAAAGTGTTTCTATTTCTCCACATCCTCTCCAGCATCTGTTGTCTCTAGACTTTTTAATGATTGCCATTCTAACGGGTGTGAGGTGGTATCTCAATGTTGTTTTGATTTGCATTTTTCTAATGACCAGTGACACTGAGCATTTTTTCGTATTTTTTGTTGACTTCATACATGTCTTCTTTTGAGAAGTATCTGTTTATATCCTTTGCCCACTTTTGGATGGGTTTGTTTGTTTCTTTCTCAGAGAAATTTCTTAAACACATTTTAAGCTGTTTGACATCAGGCAACAAAGGTGGTGACCAATGAGAGGAAGAAAATAATCAAAAGGAGCCCTTTGATGAATGCACACTCAGACACTTCCCTAAGGGAGTCTCCAGGCCACAGAACTGGAGTAGAACCAGGTAGATTTGGAATTGAGGAAAGGGAGCTGGAAACCCAGAGAGGCCCAAACATGTGAAGACCAGAGAATACAGTGGATGGCAGAACACTGTTCAGAGAGAGAGCCCTGCAGATGGCAGGAGACAGACCCAGGTTTCATAGAGTGCAGGTCAGTGAGAGGCAGACCCAGGCTTCACAGAGTGCAGGTGAGTGAGAAGGAGACCCATGCTTCACAGAGTGCAGGTCAGTGAGTGGGAGACAGGGCAAGTTGGGTGTGAGGACACACCCTACTAGAGGGAACTCTCTTCAAAATCTGAAACTATAAAAATATACACAAAATACTTGATAAAAGATATAAAATATACAGGAAGGTACCATAATAAAGCCAAATAAAGGACAGATGGATTCACTACATTAAATCCTGGAGAAGCGTAATTCACAAGCACATGATAACTCCAAAGAGGGAGGACAAATTAATTCCACCACGGCAATCAGCTTAAGAGAAAAACACTCAGAATGTGGAGAAGCTTCAAATACAAATATGAATGGAGTTATCTAATTACCAGAGTGGTGGCATGAGGACTCCTAATCTTTCCATTGAAACAATCACATCTGGTTAAAAAAATAAAAATCTCAACCATTAAAAATCAATGCAGATTATTCTGAGAAAATACAGTAAATAAAAATTATTGATTGATAAAATGTGCTGCTATAGACTGAATATTTGTTTCCTCCACAATGACAGTGTTGCAATTCTGAGCCCAACGTGATGGTGTTAGGGGATATAAATGTTTCCAAGTACTTATCCAGGTTACTACAAAATTGCTGTTAACACAAATATCTTTATTGGAATTCTTGCATCAGATAATTATTTTATGACATTTTGATTTTTGTAGATGATTACAATCCACCTTTTCTAGGCCTATCTTGTGGACAATTGCATGAATCTAATCAATGAGTCTCAGTGATTTGAAACTCATTTTTGCAGTGGCTGCCAGAATCAAAGTTCATTTCTGCTCCAGCCATCAGACACTCGGATTCCCACAGGGACACCCTGGTTTTGTTTCCTGCTTGGCTTTGACCTTATCCTTTTGCTAACCTGAGAGATTCTGTATCTTGCAGCTCCCCCAGGTCATCCTAGAGCCATATGGACCTGTCAACTGTCAGCCTGGCAGGAAGGGTTGCACTGAATGCGACCTTCTCTGTCCTTGTGGGGGAGCCAAACTCCGGCAGGCATCATGGTCCTGAGTCAGGTTGTACCCTTCCAGTGTCCGTGTTTCCCCTGCAGGTGAGATGCTGATCCATGCATCTTACTCCCATTCCTGGGAAGAGTGTCTCTTCACTGTTTCCAGATGTTCCTTCAGCAGCCTCTATGTCTTCCCACTGATTTCTGCAGTTTCCTCTTTGCTACCTTTTCCTTTAGAATAAAGCTGTTATTCCTCAGGGAAGATGGGAGGTGGGTCTGGAAACAGCCTTGGTGCATTCCTCTCTCCCCTCCCAGTTCTTGTTGCTCTCTCCAGTGTCTCTAGAAGAGTGGTTTTGGTGGCTTTACCTCCTCTGATAATTTCTCTTGCAATGTAGTGGTGACAGAGAATGCTTCTGGATGCATTTCAGCTGTAGTTGCTATTTTGTTTTCCCAGACAGAACTGTCCTATTTTGTGACATTTCACCAATACTGAGGAAAAAGAGTTCAATAGCAGGAGGAATTCCTCAATGGTATACAATCTGAGAATTTAAACAATAATTTCTCTATCACATTCAAATTCAGACCACCCACTGAACATGTATCCTTTAATCTTGTATTAACTTAAATGACATTTGGCAGCCTCTGCCCCAAATAAGATTATCGTCTGCTCCTGATTTTTTACCCTCCAAGTCCTCATCTCTTCCAATTTCAGATATCTTGTTTGTCCTATAACATCAAAAATCTGATGTATTTAAGAAAATTTGTTAATTTGTAGATCACTAAAGTTGGTAGCTGTTGTAAGAATAAGAATATATTTATATAGGAAGCCTACATCTCCAAGCTGAGCAGCACCTTTATATGTAATACTCAGAAACTGGAAAAATGCAAATATCAAGAAGATATACAGATAAAGAGTAATGACATGATAATTTGTCATAATAATATCCATCGTTAGAATCAACACACTGTTGATGGTCAGCATGGTTGTATCACAAGATGAGTGAGAAGCTACACAGATAAAACACACACTATATAATTTCTGTATGATAAATTTTGAAAATCACAACTAAAGTAATACATATGTAATATTGATTCAGAATATGGTGAGGGAAGAAAATAATTGGGAAGGAGGAATTGCAGAGGCGCACAGGGGAACTTTTCAGTATGGTTTGTTTGTTCATTATCTGGATGGTTCTTGTGGATGCACAGGTGAGAACCAGTGGAATTACGTTTCATTTTGTTTGTTTTTGTCTTTAGACATGCGGTCTTACTCTTTGACCCAGGCTGGACTGCAGTGGTGGGATCATAGTTCAATGTAGCCTCCAGCTTTTGATCTCCAACAATCCTCCGGCATCTGCCACCTAAGCAGCTGAAACTGCAGGTGTGTGCCACCGAGCTCGGCTTGTGTACTTATTAAACAGCACACTTTATGCAATATTTAATGTATAGCAATAATATCTCAAGAAGAGTGTTACAAACAAATTAATGGATAATTTGTTCAGTATGCTTTGATGGAAAAATAGACATTAACATGATGAAAGTCTGACACGTATAAAATACAACTGCATAAAACGTGCTTCTCTTTACATTCATTATGTAAACACGATGGTGCATACACATCACACCACATTTTCATTACAGGAAGGAAGTTCTGAAAATATCACTAGGGGTGACCCACCATATGACGGGCTTGGCTCAGGGTGCAGTCGGGCAGTGGCGAGAAGCACCGGCCCAGATACCCGGGCTCACCCTAACCAGATGTGAGTTCTGGGAACATTGTACTCGCCATCTGCGCTTCTGCTGATAATTTTACATATGTAACGTGGGAATAACATTGGTACTACACAGCATGATAAGACGTTTGGTGCTAAGTTTAAATGTATGCAGTTTTTAAAGGTCCATTGCACTTCAATAAAACTATATTTAAATTAAAAATACAAATACAGTTATAGGTTTAAAGAGTGTATCACAGAACAAACTTTTAATAAGAAACTACATTTTCCAAAATTGTATCAATATATCCAAACTCCCGCAGGACATTCTCACCTGCTCAGGGCCCTGCCCTCTCCTCAGGCATCCCACCCCAGAGCTTGCTATATAGCACGAGACATGCAAATAAGGCCCTCCCTCTGCTGATGAAAAGCAGCCCAGCCCTGACCCTGCAGCTCTGGGAGGGGAGCCCCAGCCTCGGGATTCACAGGTGTTTCTACTGAGTTTTCAGGGCTGAAAAAGGAGACTCACCATGGAGTTTGGGCTTTGCTGGGTTTTCCTTGTTGCTGTTTTAAAAGGTGATTCATGGAATATGAGGTGAATGTATGTGAATATGAGTGAGAGGAACTGAATCTGTGTGGCATTTTCTGACCAGGATGTCTGTGTTTGCAGGTGTCCAGTGTGAGGTGCAGCTGGTGGAGTCTGGGGGAGGCTTTGCAAAGCCTGGGGGGGGTCCCTGAGACTCTCGTCTCGTGTGCGGCCTCTGGATTCACCTTCAGTAACTATTGGATGCACTAAATCCGCCAGGCTCTGGGGAAGGGGCTGGAGTTGGGTTGGACGAATTCATCCTAATGGTGATAGCACAGGCTATGCAGACTCCGTGAAGGGCCGATTCACCATCTCCAGAGACAACGCCAAGAACTCGCTGTATCTGCAGATGAGCAGCCTGAGAGCCGAGGACACGGCCGTGTATTACTGTGTGAGAGACACAGTGAGGGGAGGCCCGTGTGGGCCCGGACACAAACCTCCTGCAGGGGTGCCTGGAACCAGCAGGGGGCGCTCAGGATAAACCGAGGACAGGGGTCGCCCAGGGCAGGTGCAGGTGGAGGTCAAGGGCTGCTCTCCTTCAGGGCCTGTGGCTTCCTCTGAGTGTAACGTTCCCCGGGGAGGGTCTGTGTATTTCAGTTATGTCCTTGCCACTGAGGCGTCTACGTTTGTGACGTTTATTACTATAGCAAGAGCCATGAGCACATGCTCCAGGGCAGGTGCCACTGATGGAGAAAGAAAAGTGTGCAGGAGGCCGGGTGAGGCTGTGGACACTGTCCGCCCAGGATTCGCGTTTCACAAGCAGTGAAGGGGAAATGGGGAGTTCGATGGGGCTCCCTAAGTACCATGAGGTCCACACTAAGTCCGGCACAGCCAGCAGACACCCCTGAACCATAGGAACCCATCAGGGACCGGCTGTGTGCCCCACAGACACCCACCTTCTCGTCCCCGCTGCTCAGTCTCTGTCTGCAAGGAGCTCCCGGGAAGTGTGTGTTTGGCCCAAACCCGGTGACGGATGTCAGAGAGCAGCAGCTGGCGCCGGGTCCTGGGCTCCTAATGCTGGAGGAACGGGGAGCGTTCTCAGGGACAGGACTCTGTTTATGGATTTGTATCTAGAAACCACGAATTTACTTGCTTCTCTCAGTGGACGTAGAGAAGCAGGCATGCAGTCGGCAAATAATGACAATCTCTACAATGACCCCCAATGGGTTCTTCCTTAATTCTGTGTGGGATCCAACCACCAATCGCCTTTCTCATGAGGAATTGCTGCATCTACAGTGAGTCCACATGGTTCTCATATTCTTTTGGTTTCTGTCCATGTACAGAGATTTAGAGTAGAGTAAGTTTGTACCTTTCCACACACGAAGCTTCTCCTTCCCACAGAAAGAGCAGAGTCTTTCCCTGTTCCTGAGTCTGGGGTGGGGGCTGGTCCTGTGCACTCAGAGCCTGCAGAGACCACCAAGTCAGGTTTATAGACTCAGGTGTTTTCTCCTTCAGGAGGGGTTACCTCCACTGCCTCTGATTTCTGCTAAGAATTAACTGTGATTTCAGAGTTAACACGCTATTAGGGTATCATGCTTCACTTCTATTCTGAAAATCACCCTCTTTCTAGTAAAATAAAATAGCTCAATGTTCATTCCTCTGAAAGCAGTTTTTTTTTTTTTAATTTGGTTGCAAGTATACCATATATGTGCCTGAATTTTATCTCCGAATCTACTGAATTGTCTAGAAATCTCACAAGCTGAACAAAAGTAAATTCTTCATTCTTACCAAAATGTGTGTATGTAGGAATTTCAGTAGCGTTGTCCAGAACCCTGTGCACACTGACCACTGTGCTTCCTGGTCATTCACTGGCCTGGCGAGGCCTCCCAGGTCCCTCCCTCACCTGTGCTGTCTCTGGATTCTCCATCATGACCAGCGCTTCCGGCTGGAGCTGGATCCCCCAGTCCTCAGGCCAGGGAGTGGATCAGGGCATAGGTCACGAGGGAGCACAAGTTCTGACCCCCTCCTAATGAGCTCAGTCACCATCTCCAGATCCACGTCCAAAAACCAAATGTTCTTGCCACTGAGCTCTGTGACCAACAATGCCACAACCTGTGTTACTGTGAGAGACACACGTAGAAGACGTCAGTGTGACCCCAGCCACAAACTTCCCTGGAGAGGGGCCCAGGACCACCAAGGGCACTCGGCTCCATGAAGACAGGGCCCAGGCTGGAGAATGGGTTTCCTGTCACCCTCACATTTCACCACTAGATACTCTGCACTATGCCTATGCTGAGGTACATGCACAGTACAATTAGAACATGGAATCTATATAGATGTATAATCATATTTAGTGCAGCAATTTGTTGTTTCCACCTTATGTGACCGTTAAAGATGACATCTCCCACCTTATTCAAGGACCTTATAAATTATAATACTTCATGTAAAATGTATCTCCTTTTTGGAGTTTCTCTTATTATCTTTGTTCTCTCTCTCTCTCTTTCTACATACACACACACACACACACACACACACACACACACTCACAGTGGTTGGCAGTATATAGGCTACTTAAGAATATATTACCATATAATTTAAAAATAGCAGTATTACAACAATTGTCTTTAATTTTTTGAGGAAAATTACATCCAAATGCCATTGATTTTTTATAAGACTTTTATTTATTTTTTTAAATTTATTCATTTTATTGCATTTTGGGTTTTGGGGTACATGTGAAGAACCTGCAAGATTGTTGCAAAGGTACACACGTGGCAATGTGATTTGCTGCCTTCTTCCCCATCACCTATATCTGGCATGTAATTGCTAGTTTTTGTTTTCATCAATCCTTACCTGTGTACTTTGTATTTTTTCAGAGCATCGGGTGCCTTCACAGAATTAAACATGCCAAACTCTGTCTGGTGAGCAAAAAGTAAGAAGTCACTCTCCTGATCATTCCCCACAGCTGCAGGCCCATGAAGGCAGAGCAGGTGCCATGACCTCACAGCAGACCACGGCCCCCAAAGGTGACCGTGGACCTTGAGGTCCAGCACGTGAAAGAAACATTACATAGCTGTGACAGTTTCTAACCAGAATATCTATATCTGTGTTTGCAAGTGGCCAGTGTGAATTGCAGCTTATGGAGCCTGGGGGAGAGTTGGTGTAGCTTAGAGGGGCCCCTGAGGGTCTCCTGTGAAGCTCTTGATTCACCTTCCGTAGCTATGAGAGTCGCTGGGTTGCCAGGCCTCAGGGATGGGCCTGGAGTGGGTCGCAGTTACGTGGTGTGGGGAAAGTCATCAATACGAAGCAGACTGTTAGGGGCAGACTCACCGTTTCCAGAGACAACACCCCGTTGATGCCGTACATGCAAATGAGCAGCCTGAGAACCAAGAACATGGCAGCAGATAACTGTGCAGGAGACACCCTGATGGATGTCCAGACCGCCCCCTGAGAACCAAGAACACAGCAGCGGATAACTGTGCAGGAGACACCGTGATGGACGTCCAGACAGCCCAGCAGGACACAGGGGCGGCTTGGCTGCAGGGGGCGCTCGGCACCCACAGAAGACAGGGGCCGCCCAGGGGCAGGGGCAGGTGCAGTCCAAGGGCTGCTTTCCTGTCGGGGTCTGTGGTTCTTCTGCATCAAAAGCGTTGTCCTGGAGCCTCTCTGTATTTATAGTTCTCTCTATATATTTATGGCTCCCAGGAGCCTCTCTATATATTTATGGTAGGTTCTCTGCCTACCACTGAGGGCTCTGGATTGGAAAAGTTCATTACTAGAAAAAAATAAAATAAAACGTTCTCGTATGCCCCTAAGGACTGCATCACTAATGGAGGCAGAAGATGTCACAGGAGGCCAGGGGGGCTGTGGAAACTGTGGGATGTGGGTGCAGAACTGATGACAAAGACATAAATATCACAGGCATCTGATAAAACCGCCTACTTACCTTGTGATCCACTCTAAGTCTAGTAAAGCCACTGATGCCTCCCTGAGCCAAATCCGCCCGTCAGGGATCAGTCCCGTGTTCCAGCAGCAGACGTGCCTCAGTGTCTCCACTGTGTGTAGTCACTGTCTGCAGGAGCTCCCAGGGCACGTGTCTTTGCATTAACCAGGTCATGGGTGTCACTATCAGAGCTGGGCGCCTGATCGATGGGCTTCCCTGATGGTGGAGAAGTGGGAGGTGCAGTCTCAGGGCCAACACTCTGCCCATGCATTTTTATATAGAAACCATGATTTTAATTGCTTCTCTCAGATGACATAGAGGAGCAAGAAGACAGTCTTCAAACAGCTGCAATGTCCACATTTCTCCTGAACACATGCATTATGTCTCAATTCTGAGTGTGGATTTAGCAGAGCATTGGCTTTCTCTTAAGAAACTGTTCAATCCCAGCTGAGACCACATGGTTATCATACTCCTTGGTTTTAATTCAGCTGCAGAGATCCTGAGTAGAGCAAATTTGGTCCTTTCCACACACTAAGCCTCACCTTCCTCAGAGAAAAAGCAGAGATTTATCCAACTGTGTCTGAGGTGGAAGCTGTTTCTCCACAGCTTAGAGCTTGCAGAGACCCCTGAGGGCAGCTTTATGGAGTCAGGTGTGTCTCCATGTGGGGGAGCTCAGCTGCCAGTGATTGCTGCTCAGTTAGAACTGTGGGTTCAGAATTAGGACATTTAGGTTATCATGCTTCAATAAATTACCATCATTATAGATAGAAATAATAACACAACACCAATTGTTGTCACATTTATTATTATTATTGGAGTGTACCTTTGGAGAGACAAAATTATTACCATAAATCTGCATAAATCTAGTGTCAGAATCTCCTGAAACCGTCTAGAACACTTGCAAACTGCATAGAAGCAGATTCTTCTTTTTTCTATACTCGTGTATTTTGGATTGTTGATATTTTGTCCAGAACCTGTGAACACCAATTACTGTGTGGTTCATGCCCCTTCTTGGGTTCCGTGACAAGGAATGCCATTAGTACCTGGCAAATTGAAACAACTTTGAACAATGTCAGAGCAATCATCTGTAATTGCTTCTAAATTTCAGCTTTATCAGTGCTAATGCTTTCTCTATTATTTCAGATCTTGGTTATTAAAGGATTCTCGCTTTTTCTCTTAATCTAGCTAAGAATTTGTCTATTTTTTTTTAGAGAGAAAAAACTCTTAGATTCGTTGATTTTTCTGTAGCCTTATAAAGTCTGTTTTTCACTTATTTCATTTCCTCTAAAGCCTCATAAGCACATTGATGACATGCAGATAGAGAACTTGTTTGTAAATGCCATATTTTTGTTAGACTCAGCTGAGCATGTCAGGAAGCCCCCTGAGGGTTCTAGGGACTGAGTGTGGCTCCCACACTGGACAAGGATGAGAACCTCCAAGCTTTGGGGATAGGGAGACAGGCCGGGCAGTGTGAGGGAGGAGGGTGGCCGGCAGGTCCAGCGTTTCTTCCCTGGCAGCACCACTTACGTCCGTCCTCACTCAGAGATTCAGTCATTTCTGTCCGGGTGGTAACATCAGCTAACTTCATCTTTGATAGATGG